CTCTTGTCTAATGAAAAATCTAGTGTGGAAACAAAAAGGAGAGCATTCTACAATGTGAACATTAGCCAGGAACAGTGGCACACATCTGTAATCATACCACTTGTGAGGCTGAGACAGAAAGATCTCCATGAGTTCAAAGCCAGCCTGCGTTTAAGACTCTATCTCAAAACAACAAAAAATTCAAATACTATCAGGAGCCAAATGAGCAGCTTAAAAATATGCTGTATAAGAGAGAAAGAGGGAGGGGTCAAGCATCACATAGTCAGTGTAAGCCCTCCAGGTCCCAAGGAGGCATCATTCGAGTGAATACCCAAGTCCTTGTCACACACCTCTTTGAGTGCATACTTGGGGTCTTACGTATTCAGTCCAGGAGATCGCTGAGTGGAGCACAGAAACAGGAAGCAGGTGCTGGAGCACAGAGCTGGTAACTGCCCTTCTGTTGAGGAAACTGATCAAAAAGCAAAGACAACAAAATGGAAAGAATCAGCTACCAGTCCTCAGGTACTCCTTTGTGTGGCCCCAGAAAGCGTTCTTCCAAACACACACAGAATAGAAGGGGCCAGGAGCTTGCTCCCAGTTTTAGGAATCTCAAACCAGCTATGAATGTGCTATGTTTTACCACTGAAGACCTGTGAGCTTATAGCAGTGACTATCCACAACAGAATTTCATTAATGATTTTACCAGCATTTTACTATTTTCTAATTAGCGATTAATTACTAGTAATTTCAAGCAATTTACTAATGATCACTTTGGATAAACAGCACAACAAAGAGGAAAGTCAGCACAAGAAAGTAAGGCCTGTTTCTGACGGGGAATAACCCTGTATTTTTTTTTTTTTATCTCTCCACATTAAGACTTTTAGTCAAACATTAATTTCGGTAATTTGCACGATAAACAATAATGCAAAATACAAAATTTAGAATTCAAATTACATATCCCTCTGCTCCCTCTCAGTCATTGCACATCTCTGGTCTTTTAAGGCTGATCATCTTGACAGAATCATTTGGTTCTTAAACCAAACTAGAGATTCACAAAAGCAAAAGGTCTTTCTAAGCCAGCCAATCATGGTAACACTCAGAGGGCTGCAGCAGGAGAATCACTGCAAGTTTGAGGCCAACCCAAGCTACATAGTGAGCTCAAGGCCAGCCTGTAGGACACAGTAAGACCTTGCCTCAAGAAGATCAAGAATTAAAATACAAACAAACAAAAGAACAAAACCCCAGGTCTTTCTGTCTTTCTCCTGCCCTTCTTGCCTAATGACTAGATATGGATTCTTTTACAGTGCTTGCTCCTCAGCTCAGAGACAGGGGACCACAGAGGTCTCCAAGCAGACTTTTCCCATAAATTTACCTTTCCACAGCTTTCTGGACTTCACAGCCCAGGTCATCTTTGTCTTAGTCCTGGAATTTCCCTAAAATGTATTGCTCTTGGCTGAACTACTATTTAAGGGGAGTCTTTCAGCCACAGCATGGCGTGACCTTACTCTTGTGAGATACGCACTGCACACTCAGTAAACTTGGTGCTTTTTCTCTTCTTAACTTACTTACTGCTATAGGAATCTGTCTCAGATACCAACTTATGATGGCTGGGGAAATTCCATCTTCCTCTCCTTTATTCTGGAGACTCAAGTTGGACTTTCTGAAACACCTCACTTGTTCTGGAACCTACAGTACAGAAGCCAGTGTAGCTCCAATGCAGACATCCTCCTGGACCTGTTCACCTGCCTTTCTCACTACCTGTGATGCCTCTACCTTAATCATGCACTCGGCTGGCTTCGTTACTAACTCTAAATCTTGATACAAACATCATGTACTCAGAGAAGCTCACCTATATCACTCTATATGAAATACCTACATTTCCCTCAATGTAAACCTTGTATCTCCCCCTTCATTATTTTATATTTCTTTAAGCAATTAGTTTAGAAAACATTGCTTTTTAAATTTTACCTACTTAAAATGATTATGATCATTCCTTCCTTCTAGAAGGTATATTCTATGGCAAGAATTTTTGGGTATTTTGCTTTCTGATGCTTTTCAGCACCTAAAAACACAGCAGTGCCAAAGTGTATTTATGCAAGTACAAAATGATATAACAAATGGATGAGTTTTATTTGGCAAAAGCAAATGTTAGCACTTTGATTAAATATATATATATATATATATATATATATGCACACACACACGTATGTTTTGATGGCTCATTGACATGTTATTCTTTGGTCATATGTAGAGTATCCCAACATGAAATAAAAAATAAGCCATGTGATATCCTTCTGCCTTTAACCTTTCATTTTTATTAAACCATTCAAAAGTATGAAAAGCAAACAAAAATCTGATGGCCTTGGGGACAGCCTCCATGTTTCCCTTTGGAGAAAGGTGATACCTGCTATCTGTATTTCATAAGTCAAAATTTATGCATGCCCTGAATAAACACTAAATATGGCTTTTGTTGTATAATCAAACATCATTCCTTAACCAGGTGTGGCGGCACATGCCTGTAACCCCAATTCTCAGGAGACTGAGGCAGAGAACGCAGCAAGTTCGAGGCCAGCCTGAACTACACAGCGAGACTGTCTCAAAAAGCAACAAAACCAAATATCATTCCTTACTGAGCTGAGCCTTATCCTTCATCAGGACACACTGGCCAACTGAGTAATTCAACCAGGTCTCTGTTGCTCCCAAGAGGTGATCCTGGCTTCCTTCTACCTTTCACTGTGTAACTCTAAGGATGTGCAGCACGTGATCCTGTGGCACACTCCTCCCTAGTAATTATCACTTAGAATATGGTAAGTATTTCCTCTTACAGTCGTTACTGGGAAGTGCCTCTTACAGTCACTATGTGCACTGACCCTTAGAGAGACAGCATTCTCTGACCTCTGCTTCTACTTCACACATTGCCATGTGTTAGCTGGCTTCTTGCCACTCTTAACAAATACCTGAAGTCATCAACTTACAGAGAAGAAAGGTTTATTTTGGCTCATAGTATTGGAGGTGTCAGTCCCTGGTCAGTTGTGCAGCACATCACGGTGGGAACGTGTGGCAGGGCACTGCTTACCTTAAGGATGGGAAGCAAAAGAGGGGAAGAGACCAGGCAAGGTGCTTCAAGGGTACTCCACCACCAGCAACCCGAAGACCTCCTGCTGGCCCATCACCCCCAACAACACTACGCTGGGAACCAAGCCTTAGAGGATGTTTCAGATCAAACCATGGCAGCCACCAAGCTCTGCTGACCCAAAGAGTATTCAGCCTGTTGGAGCTTGTAGATCTGAGTCCTGGTACTGCCGCCGCCAACTGCTTCACATTAAAAGAAATACTTATATTTTCTACCCTCATTTCACAGGTGCCGAGCAGGTTATCCATGAAGGTCTGCCCTGTTATCCATGTTAGCAATCCAAGGAAGTAATGTTAGTTTGAAAACCTGAAAAGCCACACCCAAATGTAAATATTCTTACTTTGCATGTCTATTTCTTCTTATCCTCTTACTTCATTCACTGTCATTACCAAGCACCTGTCTTCATAATACCTTGCATCCAGTTAATGATTAGTGAATAAATGGACCAACCGCCTCTTTGTGGGTCTAGAAGTACACTAACTGCCTGTTTCTTACACCAAAGACTAGAATGGTTCTCCTCTGGCTCTAACCATATAGCACTTCCTTTTTAAATCACTTGTATTTCTTATCACCTCCTTTAAAACCTCCAACCCCAAACAGAAACAGAACAATATAGAACTTTGTTTGGTTTTTTGAAACAGGGTTGTGCTTTGTACTTCAGGCTGGCCTTGAGTATACTATGTAGCCCAAGCTGATCTCAAACTCATGGTAATCCTCCTGTCTCAGCCTCCCAAATGCTGGAATTATAGATATGCACCAATACACCTGGCTGGTGTAGAATTTTAGACATTAGAAACTATCAAAACTTGTCTCCTCAGAGTGTGTCTAAATATTAAGTATGCTCAATACACTATATAATAATATGAAAATAAATAATATTTTTCAGGGCTAGGGGTTTAGCTCAGTGGCATAAGCACCTGCCTTGCAAGCAGGCGGTCATGTGTCCAATCCCTGGTACCGATAATAATAACAATAATAATAATAGTTTTCAGGTTAAGACTAATCAAATTAGTAGAATTTTATTCTTCAACAGAGAATAGGGCTACAAATTCTTACAAAGCTGGCACTTCAAGGACTATAATAAAATCAAGTATTCTTTGATTCAAGAATATTTTTTGAATCCCTAAGGAAAGCAGGCATTTTTATTGGGCTATTGACATGTCCTAGCTATATTATGCTAATCAAGTTTATGTGGACATGCTGACCTACATGGCAAGGCCCCGGAGAAAAACCACACATCACACACTTCATGGACTTTCTTCTAAAAATGCTAATGTGGAGGGTCCAGGATATAGCTCAATGGCATAAGTACCTGCCTGGAAAACGCAAAGTTGTGAGTCTGATTCCTGGTACCAATAAATAAATAAAATAAAAATGCTAACATGTACATATGTTTTTACATATTCTATTTCATTCCTGTCAGAAAGAGGAAAGCTTTAAGCCCATCTCCTAGGAAACTGGGTTCCTAAGGGTCATAGAAGGACCAGGTACCACTTGTGACTTCATTTCTACCCATCCCCCAGGACCTCACTGCTATTTCTAGATATTCAATCATCAGCCATCAATACAACGTCCATGGAAATGTCACGCAGTACCACACCCAAGTTCACCAAGCCTCTTTCAAAGAGGTCCCTCTATTAAAGGCCTCAGAGCAAGGCCTAGCAGAGAGCCCCAAGCATCCCCAAGACTCAAGACCTGGGAGACAGCTTCAGACCACCTCTGATGATGCAATTATGGTCTGCTAGCAATGGTCTTTAAGACAGACAATGGCTTAAGCCATGGGAAACTCCCAAAACTAAGTGCTGACAGCTGAACTGTGGACAAACCTAGCAAGAAAAACTGAAATTGGGTTGTGATGTGGGCTCCTGAAAAGAAGTACAAAACTCACCACATGATGCCCAGTTGTTCTCTCTGGTTTCCCCCCTTCTCATTTGCTTCCTGGGTATCACGTGGTGAGATTTCTTCCGCCATGCTCTTCCGCCATGATGCCCTGCCTTGAAGCCAGTCAACCACGGACTAAATACCTTGAACAACAAGCCAAATTAAATTCCTCCTCCTTTAATTTATAAGCATCAGCTACTTTGTCCCAGCAACAGAAAAGCAACCAGCAACAGTTACTACAATTGAGCAGAAATGTTTTCTCTAGAAATAATCTATGAACCTCACTTTTCATGACATCACCCTGGACTGTCTTTCATTAGTACATGTTTTTGCAGTATATAAAGATTATAATTATCGTGAGGAGTTAGTTACATGTACATCTTACTTCTTTTTACTTCCTCGTCCCTTTCACACTGACCTCACTTGTGGCCATGTGACCCAACACCATCCTTCTCGGAGCAGGAGACATCAGGGAGGGAGCACTGTGTGCGGGATGACGGCCAGGGGCCAAGACAGGAGAGGTGGCAGATGAGACTACAGACATGAGCCCAACCACCACGGGTCTAGAACACATAGTCCGGGCACAGTGAGAAAAAGTAACAACACACAAATCCTCGTTCCAAGAGGCAAAGAAGGAAGTCTTGGTGTGTAAGTCCAGTGTGTCTGCTTAGCCTCTCTCAGGTCCCTGCTACAAGTGACAGGCATCTGGCCAGAGAACTAGCACGGGTTCAGGTTCCCTTCCACCCACTCTGACCTGAAATTTGCTCTCTTCTTTTCCTCCCTTCTTTGTTGTGAAGTGTTCATTTTTTTCTTTCTTCCTGTCTTTGCTGGCTTGGTTTCTAAGAATCAGTTGCTTCGCAGAGGCGGGTGACAGCTCACTCGCTCACACAGTGGCCCCCTTCCTGGGCTATGGGGGGGCAGGAGCATCTCATCATTCACAGCAAGGCACATCTGCAGGACCCGCACCATGCTGTCTTCCAGGCTGGCATGCCAGGCCCTGGTGGCTGGAGAGGAGATGCCTCGGCTGGCTCAGCTGCCAGCGAGAACCCCTCTGCTGAACCCCTCTGCCTCTGCACGGCATGGAGGCTGTTTTAAAGCAGCCTCCCTGGCTTCTTTAATTAACTCAATCCGCCCAACCACAGGCTTTAAATAATTGAGTGCCTTGGTAACCAGTGTTCAAGCACTTGAAGAACTGCAGTTGCAAGTACATTCTAGCCTTTTAATTCTAGTTAAAAACATTCCACTCTCCCTCTTATAGCTCACAAGCTTAGGTGACACCAAAACCCGTATTTGTGAAAAGAAAAAAGGTGCTTAGGTCATTGGCAATGGGAGGGAGTCAAATTTACACGAAGGGGCTCCGGATTCGTTCACACTATCAACCAGGAAACTGAAAAGCAAAAGGAAAAGATAGGTCAATGTTCACAGGTGACTTCTTGTGAGTCACGTGATGATTCCCAAGTATTACAATCTGTAAAACTGTACACGTGTCAGCTGAAAGCTGAGATACTGTTAATGCTTGGATCTCCTACAGGAAAAAATATTTGTATGTCTTTTTAAAAACAGAAACCACCTAGATTCACTCCAAACTAACTTGATTCATATTCACTATTGCTCAAAAATGTGCTAAAGATACTTAGCTTTTGTTCTTTGATCAAATGCTAAATAGACTATGGTTAAAGTTATAAAATACAAAACAAATGCTTCTGCTCTTTTTTTTTTCTTTTTAGTTTTCCCACAGTCTTATATAATATTAAATTAGAAAATAGCACTATGGTCTAGATGTTCTTCCTTAGCATGAAAATTGAAATATTTAAAACTATGTGAAACTGTATTCCTCAAATGGCAGCTTGCATCAAGAGCACTTATACTTTTAATATGAAACTCCTTTTTCCTACGTATTTACAGGGTAATCTGAAAACACAGTGAATGTTTAAATTAAAAAATACTGCTCCAGAACTGTTTCAGAGAATAGCAAGATGGATGAATTGGATAAGTACATTGAAAAAGGGAAAGAATACTCAAAGGGGATTAATGGCAATGTGTCCTTTACTGTAACAAAATGTTTTAAGCCTTCAGCCTCTGTAATCAGATAACTGATGCCAGTGACGCAACTTGAAATCGTGACACTCTGTACAGAGACACTGTCGCCCTGCTCCCAGTGAGGCTGTCATAACACCCCATCAGAGCAAGCACAAGCCTGCTATGACCCCTGCTTCTCCCAGGTCAGCAGACCCAGAGCCCAGCACACCCAGAGCCCAACACCAGCCCTGCCATCCACAGCCTGTGCCTGGCCACAAAACATCTGCAGAAAGGAGTTCCCCCGCCAGGGGCCTGGCCCAGAAGCCTTGTGGTCGCTCGTGAACACTTGCCTTCTGACAATTCACATCCACCCCATCAGCCAGCCTGACAGCTCTGCTGCCAGTAGAGGCCTGCATCTGACCACAGCTCACACTTCCTGCCTCTCCCCACTCTGAGCCACCAGGCCTTTAGGCTCTCTTCTTTCACCCCCGCCATCAGGCACCTGCCAGGGCAAACCTGCTGAAACAGTGCCTCAGATGGGGACAACTCTCACTGACCTGCAAGCACTTCCCTCCTCACTCAGAGGAAGCCCCCTGCACTTCCGCGGCCTGGAAGACGTGCAAAACCATCTGCCCTCCTACCTCCACTGCACTCTCCTCAGCTCACGCCACAGGGACCTTTTGGCTGTGCTGCCAATTTGGACTGCTCTTCTAGGACAAGTCTCCCATCCCATGAAGTCTTTATGTGCCATTCTCAGGAAGCCCAGAAAATATTCTGATTGGAGGCTGAAATCCTGGAGGCCACATGGTCAAGGTACCCTCACACATGTCCCTGGGTTTCTACGGAGAAACACAGACCACATCTAATGTACTGGGCGCTCTGCCTGCTCTCCTCATGACTGTGCCCTCCCCACAACCCAGCACACTGCCACACCCAGGGACAGGTGTCATCTCTTTCATGCACTGTGATATCCCCAAATGCTCAAATGCTGAGTGTTCTAAATGGGAACAAAGGAATCTGTTCCCTCTTCAGATGGCAGGGCTCTGCCACAGTACATGGAGCACATATCACTCTTTCCTATGAATAACTTCTTTAAGTCTTTAGCAATTTGGGCCTCTGTTTTCTTGGCCAGTCAATCAAATGATAAAATGACATCTTTAGGACCATCTTCATTTAAAAAAAAAAAGAGGCAGACAGGTAAGGGAAGGAATGTTCTTGGGCTGCCCTTCTGAGCATCCACTGGGTGCCAACTATGCTAAGTAAGGCTGATTGTTCACCATCCTCCAGGACAGCCCTCTGGGGGGTCAGATTTGACAGCAAGGAGCTTCACTAAGAGGTGACAAGCACTTAATATAAGGATGGAATATTGCCACATTCTGTGGCATGAAAAGTGTTACAGGGAACAGCAGGCAAAGGATAAATACTTGAAAGAATGAACAGGAAGTAAGGAAAGGTCTGGAGGATGAAGCTGGGCAGAACCAGCATCTCAGCAGGCCTGGCTACTGTTTGCGCCTAGCTTGGGGAGCCTCTCAGGAGAGAGGACACATGTCATTCTGCATTTCTCCTATCACACTCCGCTCTCACATGCATTTGTACTAACAACCCCCTTCAGATTACACTGCAGACCCAACAGTGAAACCAGACCCTGAATCAACCTCAAGAGACCTCAACAATGAAAGAGCAGGTGAAGGCACTGACACTCGGATAAGCAACTGAGCTTGGGTTACGAGCCCAACAAAGCATTAACATGGGCAGAATGTTAAAGCTGGAACCTGCAGTCCTAATTTCCACTGTGCACTCACTCAGAGGCCATCACTGTTTTGTTTTTCTGTCTTCTGAATCTACCTACCACCATGCTATGAACCTGCAATACCTGGTCCAAGAGTCGCCTGGGAGCCTTCCTTCTAAAGTCCTTCCTGATACTAATGACTCCCCCACGGAGCCTTCGAGGCAGGCTTTTATGTAAAAGGAACTCAGCCCCTCTTGGAACAGCTAATGCAGAAAGGAATCAAGCAGACAGTAGCAAATTTAAAAATCACTGTTGATGTCTAGCATAAGCCAGTTAATCTCATCAACACAATAATTGAGTTTATTTTGCAAACTAAAGAATGAATTATGAATATCACTAGAAAATAAAAGACAAGCTTATCAGTCTGACTCAGGGTCAGAAAGGGAATCACAAGGTCCTTTCTGGAACACACACCCACACCTCAGGATGGCCCCTTCACCTCCTGCCTTTCTTCTTACCTAAGATCTGGGCCAGAGTCTTGAAAGTGCTTCTGAAAGAGTCTATCAACGTTGAGGACCACGTAAAAACCAAGGGTCCACCCGGAATGGACAAAGAAAGAACCAAACTGAATCCAAGACAGGGACAGGGCATGCGAGCAAAGAAAACATCTAAAAGCCACAAGCTTCCTACTACTGAGGTGACCTTTATCTCATTTCAGAATAGGTGATGTGAGTACAGCACACTCAGACACATTCAGCACGTCGGTACTCCGCAGATTTGGCTCTATCTGGCACCACCAGGTGTTTGAGAATGAAACCCAAAGCATGACTATGACTGTGCCAAAGGCCTTCCGTGCAGAAGGCTCATCAGTTCCTGAACTCAGTCTTGCAGTAAGTCAGGGCATTTGGGACTGTACAAGCTCAGACCGCATATGCCTTTTCCTCTCTGTGGACCACAGAATTTGCCCACACACATCAGGGCGGAGACAAAAGATGATCTGCGTCTCAGAATTCCCCTTAGGTACATGGTACAAGGGAAGAGTCTACCCTCAATAATATTTACACTTCTGCCATGAAAAGCAGACACAGTATCAACAGTGTGATCCAATGTTGTAAAACTGGGAAACAGAAAGTGTGTGGTTTAGGAGGAAAACACAAATTCTTTAAAATACTGAAAAACCAGTATTGTACAATAGGCACGGAGGGCTCACACAATGCAAACACTAAATCTCTACTGTCATTGCCATAACTGGGTGCAAATGCTTCTATTAAAAAAAATGCTTCTATAATCAATTCCTCTGCCTTACCACAGTATTGTTAATGATTCAAGAAATAAACAATTATATTGAGTTCTGTCCTACTCAGGTCCAATGTTTTAGACATTTTTTTTCAACAGTAAAATTAAAAAATTCTATTTCTATTATATTGTATTGTATTGTATTTATGTTTGGTACCAGGAATCAAACTTATAACCTTTCATTTTCCAGGCAGGTGCTGTGCTGCTGAGCTATATCCCTGGCCCAAAATTCTATTTCTTACCCTCTTTTTCCCTCATACCACTAAACAAGTTACTAAGTTATCTCTTGCTTCTTTTGCTAGATCTGCCATAACAAAATACCACACACTAGGCAACTCCAACAACAGAAATTTGTTTTCTCACCATTCTGGAGGCTGAAGATTTAAGATCAAGGTGTTGATAGTTTTTTCTGAGGCCTCTCTTTAACCAGAAGGTGGCCACTTTTGTGTGTTGGTTGTGAGTACTGGGGACTTAACTCAGAGCTTCCACACTGAGTTACATTTCTGACACTTTCTATTTTTTAAAAAAAAATTTTTTTTGAGAAACATTCTTCCTTAAATTGCCCAGATGGAACTCGAATTTGCAATTCTTCTGCCTCGGCCTCCCAATTGAATCTCGTCTTTAAAATCCTTTTCTCCAAATATAGTCACAGCCGAACGTACTGAGATTAGGACTTTAATATAAGAAATTCTGAGAGACAGAATGCAGCTCATTTCAGCTCTTCGACACCCAGGTCCCCCATAAAGCTCAAATCTTAGGTCAGGTGCACTGGTGCCAGGTCAAGGCAATGTCATTTCTAACTGTGACAAGCAGAGAAGCCACTTAGCCTGCACCTGCTTCCACCTGTGAGGCAAGAATGGGGTGGCTGCACCTCATCAGTGCTTGCATAGATAGACAATAGTGTGAGTACAAACAGCCTGCACACAAAAAGGATGCAGGACACACACTTTTAACTATCATTTTAGTGCACGCCTATAATCCCAGCACTCTGGGAGATGAGACAGAAGGGTTACAAATTCAAGCC